GGGGACGTCTCAGCACTTCTTAGCAGCAAGCCGTTCGTGGGAGAACTCGGTTTCTCTTCCGGGTCCGCCGAGGAGGGCTGTGGCGGCAGGTGGAGGGGGCAGCCCGCAGGCCTGGGCCAGCCAGGTCCGGGCGACGCTCCTTTTGAGGGCGGGCGCTACCTCCTCTTGCGCCCACAGGCCTCCAGCCGGCCCAGCTCCTCGTAGGCCTGGAAGAAGACGTCAAACTCCCGGGTGCCCCAGCCCCGCCACACGGCCAGGCACCACTCGCTGCTTTCGTCCTCGAAGCCACACACGACAGTGTCCTTGGCCACCACGACCGCATCCACCAGAGCCCTGCAGAGAGGGGGCGGGTCTGAGAACACCCACGGGGTGCCCACGAGGTCAGGCCAGGCCCCTCGCCCTGTACCGTCTCGGGAGGCCAGAGCGTGGCCTTGGGGGGCACCGGGGCACGCCGGCCGGGCCCCACCCACGTGTTTTAGTGCCCTGCTTCTCCCTGGGGGTGCAGCCTGTGGGCAGAGGCCTACCCATCGCAAGATGCGCAAGGCTGGCCCGTGTGGCTCAGTGGTTGAGCGTCGACCTGTGAACCAGGAGGTCACGGTTCGATTCCCGGTCAGGGCACATGCCCGGGTGGCAGGCTCGATCCCCAGTAGGGGGCGTGCAGGAGACAGCTGATCCATGATTCACTCTCATCACTGGTTTCTCTCTCCTACTCTCAGACGGATGGCCACTGTGCAGGGACGGGGCAGGGGGCCTCGGTCCGCCCCCCCCTCCCCCCCCAGCCCCAGCCTGGGGAGTGAGAGCCGTCCAGTCTTACCCCCTTGACGTCAGCTCTCGGGCTTTCAAGACGGCGATGACTCGGCCCCGCTGGGCGCCCGCGTCCCGCTCCAGGCCGATGACGATAACATCTCCTCCGCGCCTGCGAAACCAGAACCCGCGAGGGGAAGCGCTTTGTCCGGGGCCGGGCTCGCCAGGGGAAGCGGAGCTGGCAGGGCGCACAGGCGGCAGGGCAACAAACGAGGGGTTTCTGCTAATGGACTGAGTGGCACAGGGGGCACCGGAGCGGGGCCCGCAGGCACTTTCCCAGCAGGAAACCCGATCGATCGCACTTGACCACGGTGCCCTCAGCTAGCACAGCCCTTCTCAGCTGGCTCTGCCAATGAGATTGCTCCAGCCCGGCCGGTGTGGCTCAGTGATTGAGCGTCGACCTATGAACTAGGAGGTCATGGTTCGATTCTCGGTCAGGGCACATGCCCGGGTTGTGGGCTCCATCCCCAGTGAGGGGTGTGCAGGAGGCAGCCAGTCCCTGATTCTCTCTCACCTCAATCATTGATGTTTCTCTCTCCCCGCTCTGAAATCAATTAAAAAAAAACTTAAAAAAAAAACCACCACAATACAGCTAGTGCCCTGACTGGTTTTACTCAGTGGTTAGAGCGTTGGCCCTCAGACTGACGGGTACTGGGTTCAATTCCGGTCAAGGGCACATACCAGGGTTGCAGGCTCCATCCCCAGTAGGGGGCCAGCAGGAGGCAGCCAATCAATGATTCTCTCTCATCATTGATGTTTCTAACTCTCTCTCCCTCTCTTCTCTCTCAGAAATCAATAAAAACATATTAAAAAAAATAAAAAGAGATTGGCCCGGCCAGCATGGCTCAGTGGTTGAGCATCGACCTATGAACCAGGAGGTCACGGTTCGATTCCTGGTCAGGGCACATGCCCGGGATTGTGGGCTCGATCCCCAGAAGGGGGCGTGCAGGAGGCAGCCGATCATGATTCTCTCTCATCATTGATGTTTCTCTCCCTCTCCCTCTTCCTCTCTGAAATCAATAAAAGTATATTTGAAAACAAACAGATTGCTCCCAATTTCAGAACAGGGGGCGCAGCTCCTATGGATGGCCACAGTGTCCCCAAGCTTCCGTCACTCCGCCCCCAAAGTCAGAGCGGGAGACGGGCACCCCCAAGCTCGCACCCCCCGCCGCGGGGGGACCTACCTGGGCACCCAGATGACGTCCTTCACAGCCAGGACCTTCACGGCCTGCAGGTGCTGGCTGAACGCCTCGCCGTCCACGGGGCTCAGCTCCTGCTCGGACCTGTCGGAACCGGCCGTGGGCTCGAGCAGCCGGTCCGAGCCCTCCCCGTCGGTGGAGAAGAGGATGCTGGAGGGACTGTCCGGGGACAGGGGGGCCCGCTGCGAGGAGTACGAAGACATGGAGCAGTAGTCGGTCAGCGAGTCCTGGTGCGTCAGGATCTGCGTGCCCAGCTCCTTGCTGTACATGATGCTCACGTCGGCGATGGAGTCTGCCTCCGGCTCCTGCCGGCTGGCCACGGGGCCGTCCGGCGGCTCCAGGCCCGAGGGGCGCACGGGAAACACGTCCCTCCCAGGGTTCGGGTCCCCGCAGAAGTAGCGGGCGCACAGCTGGTAGGTGGCCGAGTGGTACATGACCAAGAGGTTGGCCCTGTCGTCCAGGCACCAGACCACCTCCTCGCCCCCGCAGTCCGAGCTGCACACGAGCGAGGTGACCGCCGACGGGGCCGCGTAGGGCTCCAGCCGCCGGCTGATGTCCAGGCCGGCGCAGTCGATGACCAGCAGGCCCGGCCCGTTGCTGTACCAGACCTCGGACCCGCTGTTCACCACCTCCATGGCCGCCACGGGGTAGGGGTTCTGCCGCACGTCCTCGTCCGGGATGCTGAACTTGGACCTGTTGGCCGTGTGCGAGCACAGGTAGGAGCAGCTGTCCTCAGGGGCGCCCCGCACCACGGGGAACGCTGCCACCAGCCCGTCCGCCAGGCCCGCCAGCACCAGGAAGGAATTCTGCCGGGAGGACAGGAAAAAGGGTCTTGAAAAGGCAGGGGTGCCTGGCCGGCAGGGCTCAGGGGTTGAGCGTCAATCTATGAGCCAGAAGGTCAGGGTTCGAATCCCAGTCAAGGCACA